GTCGCCTATTTTTTGAGTTTTAACTTTAGGATAAATATTATGACCAATAAATACTGACTACAAGACCAAAAAAGAAAAATGGAACACTTTATAGAGGGATGAATCATTCACGAAAAAATCTCTAACACGCATTTACAAAACAGTGTTAATAAATTTTTTTAATCCCAAACAAATCACAGAGAGAAAGCAAGACTATAAGTATATCCTTTTTCTTCAGGTAACCTAGATGAGCATCACTGTCTCATGGTGGCTTTAAAAACAACATATCTAATTTGTTGACCGTGTGGAGCTCGTTGTGTCTTTAAACCCCACTCATCTATATTGCTGTGATATAGTGTGAAGTATGTGGAGATGAGACAGGAAGACTTCAATACATGAAGACGACAAACAGAACATGAGTCCTGCTGAGCTAACTAGACAAAACATTTTAAAATCCAGAAAAGAAGCAAATGAACCCAGATCAGTAAGCTGATTCCACATTACTCTGGTAAAATAAAAATCTCTTTTCTGGTATTTGGTCATGTGCTGCATTGTGTGGGAGAACATGGAGTGCGAGCTAAACCCGCAGGAAATTGGTAAGCTAGAGCCAGGTAAGGGAACATCTGCTGAAGAGAGATATAACACACACACACACATAACCACAATCCCCACCTTAATCACCTCTGTCTTGATGGAGGCTATTTGTGTGGCCAGAGATATCTGGCTACAGCCTGAGAGCAGGAATGAGTACATCAGTACAGGCTTAAAATGGATCTCAACAAATGGATAAAATAATAAAATGAGGAAGACATGTACAGTCAAATACATTTCTGCTGAAATACACCAGCCAAAAATGCTCAAATAATTATTCTGTATCTACACAACTGACATTCCCTGCAGGTAAGCAACAGGACAATTAGACAATGTGAAACTCACCTGCTTCAAAAACAGCTTAGGTTACATCTGCCATTACCGAATCACTGTTATATAAATCATCATTGGATATGAATATGATACGACAAATATGCTTGCTCCTGTGGGAATCACTGCATCTCTTTTGACTGAAAATGTGTATATGGATGAAAAAAACAAGAGATGTTCAGACACCATCCAATGTCACTCCACTGGTAATTTAATGGAGTCTGCGCACAATTGCTTTGACATTTAGTCTGCATCTAAATTATGTCATTGCCAGTATACAATCAACAAAAATATAAACGTAAAAACAGTAGAATGTCCAATATCACAGTACCATGACCTTCAACGTTCTCTGTGAGAATCTGAAGTGTGCAAACAAAATACACTTGACTTCAGAGTATGCAGATCCCTCCTCAAAAAATGCAAAGGAGTTTAAGGGGAATCACTTCAACTTTGAGTCTTCATCCAATATCACATACTTCCCTATTAGTAGGTGAAGTTCCTATTTTAAGCAGAATATCCAGCCTAATCTCATGATGAAACAGAACTATTTTACGCTTTGTCAGTTTAGTGGCTAATTCAGTCATACGAAAATAATATGAAAAAGGAGTCAAAGCAATAATTGTAGTAAACTGCACAAATGAGATAGTATGAATTCATATGAATTAGCCACTAAATTGCCGTGAGATAGCATTGGAATTTCAGAAAAGGCTAAATTTTCATAATATAAATGGAAAAAACGGCCCCTGTAGTGTTTATATAATAATAATACAACAATAAATAACAATAAATAACAATATTAAAATGATTTTTGCTCGATTATCCTTTTGGATTGCTTTAATAATCCCCATGAGATCAATGGATATTTTATTTCTATACATATTATTTTAAAATCTGAAGTAAATTATCCATTTTTGTTCTCATACAATAATCAATGTTTGTGTGGCTGCGAAGTGCTCTCTCTTCTACATTTGATAACTCAATAGTAGTTTTACAGACTTTACGTTTAAATTTAAGTTGTCTCTACTTTTTAACACCCAGTCTTTGAAGTGGTCATTTTAAAGCCAAAGCTCTTCAAATTTATATTATCCTGTCATTAACAGCCTTAAATGACAGGTACAGTCCGGTAACTACATCTGACTTAAGTGAATGACTGTGGATAAAAGGAATTTAATGGAGCTAAAAATGCCCTAACCATAACAGCAGGGTTTAAAATGTGGTAAAAATACATTTGGATAAAAGGAAACTACAATTTCAAATGACAACCGGTCCCTGATATTCCACGACAAGGACAAACAAAATAAGTAAAAAATTATAATTCTGTGATTTTTAATGTCTGGAACCCCCTCATTCCATGATATTCCAGAAATTCTGTCACTCCTGGAAATTTATAATAAAGAAAATAATATGGAAAATATAGTAGCTGAAAACAGTAGTCTGCCTGACCCACTCTTCTCAAAAAGGCAGGCAAAAAGCTACCATATGATTTAGTAGTGCATGCATATTGGAAACTTTACTATCCCAATAGGCTACTGCGACAATAAAGCAACATGATCAAATTATTAAAACAACAAAAAAAATGTAATGCAAAAAAAAGACTATCATACAACACATTCATTAAATAAAGACTACACTTTTTTTTAGAAGTTATGGAACACATATTCAAAATATTTACTTGCTAAAAAAGTGTGCAAATTTAAAAAGAGCAATGAAAACTGAAAAAAATAAGCACAATATTTAATCTTGAGCATGTCACAATGCAGGATAGGGCAATACTGATATGATTTATATTTACTCTAAAGATATTTAAAGATTCAACATATCAATTATTGATTCAACACTATAAATTGTGTTCTGTGATATCATGTTTCCTATAGTATTAAAAATAGGTCTGTAGTGGTCCACAGATATAACAGACATTTGGACCACTGTATTACTGTATAATTTAACAACGACTCATGCAGCTCATATATAGATTCTATAGGGGGAACAAAACCTTTATGAGTAGGTGTCCATTAGGTTTATCACAAACATAGTCTGAATATTTTGAAAATGCCTCCAAATCCAGACACTGCCTCCAAAAAAAGAAATTACTATTTCAAACTGACTTTACAATTGTGATACACACAGATACACACATACAGTTATAAACCTAGAATGCAGTCTAAAGATAAGAGTTTAGTTTGCATCACAAAGCCTCAGAGTCATTCAACAGATGCATATCAGTCCAGTGAGCAACGAATGTGCAAGTCTACCTCTCTCATCCACCTACTAATACCTCCTGCCAGTCTGACTATTTTTCTAACCCAAAATAACATTTTGTACAGTTGCTGATTACTGCTTTTAAGTAGCTATTAAATGCTTCTACAAGCAAAGTGAAAAGAGGTGCTGCAAAATATCAGGTTAGAAGCAAACCAAATCTAATTATGGCTTTGAAATTCCTCTCTAAACTGGTATGAAGAGGTAGACCTGTTAAAGCCCAAGGACAAACTGTAGGTCAGCATGCAAGAAATTAATAAGTGCAAAAAAAGCACCAGAGGATTTTTTTTTCTTTTTCTAGATTTCTATTATAGACTAGACAAAGCCATGAATAAGAATGAATAAAAGAGAGCAGCACGCATACAAGCAAAAGAGCAGACAGTGAAAACTGTGTGAAATTCTTCTGGTGTGCCGGTCAACACTATATAATACAAATTTAGTTTCCATAGACACAACTGAAACAGCAATGCTGCTTAAACATGCATCTTGTAGACTAATTTTCCCATTCACATATAATTAAAAGGATAATTCACCCAAAAATGACATTTCTGTCATCCTTTACTTTTTTCTTCTGCTGATTACAGACACACACACACACACACACACACACACACACACACACACACACACACACACACACACACACACACACACACACACACACAGACACAGACATACATACATACATTGTGAAGAACGTTGGAAAAGTGTAACCTTTGACTTCCAAAGTATTTTCTATCCTACTATGGAAGTCAAAGTCTACTAGTTTCCAACATCCAAAATACCATTTTTTTTGTTTAACAGAACAAGAAAAAAAAGTCATAAAAGCTTGGAAGCACTTGAGGGCAAGTAAAAAAATGAGCACTTTAAAATCTGAGTGAACAATTCCTTTAAGACCTCACACTGAGGTTCAAGAACATCACAGCCATGCAACACCTGTCATTAGCAAACTACATTAAACTTAAATGGTTTGTTCACATAAAATTAATTTCCAAATGATTCTGTAAGTTCTGTGTAACACAAGAGATTTTAAACTAATATGACAGCTTCAATAAACATTCCCTTTCACATCCCACAGATTTAAGCGAATGGTGTATTTCTGCTAACATCTTATACTTTTTCAGCATACCGTATGCATTTTAGATGCACTAACACTTACTAACAATAATGAAAACTAATAATCATATTAAATCGTTGTTTTAGAAAAGAAAAAGAAGCTGTTGCGTCCTCTGCCTCTACTGCCAATGAAGCACAAGAACGCTGAACTTAAATGTTCACTCAGCATCAAGCAATGCCATCTGAATAAGTTGAGAGATTTACCGTAGTAATCCTCATTAGTTATTTCGCTGCTGAAATCTGAGTGACGGTGCTCGTGCACTTCTCCTGCTTTGATTGACAGCACGTCAACAGCGCTCGCGCCCTGCACGCGAAGCGATGGCGCTTTCTAGAAAATCCACAAGTACCAGCGACTACATCCCACATTCACAGCAAACCCTCATATAATGTCAAATAACAGCAGGCGCTGAAAGAGACCGAGTCACAGACTGATTTTTCAGTTAATACTCTTCAGCCGATTAATTAGGGAGAAAAGAGTTAAAGTTAGTAATTCCCCTGAGGAGAGCGGTGGACAGACAGCTCCCTCTACATCAACAATAACACGCTGAAAGCTTTCTACAAGAGCTGCCCTGCAAAATCATTTCTCATGCAACTTTAGCCACGAGAACAGAGGTTTGATGCATCATAACGGCCTGTTAATGCAGCAGGTAAGTAGTACGCGTACTACTAACGGTACAATAAGATCTCCCTGCACACTATCCGACTGGAAATTGAGCGCAGCGTTTTACCTTTAGTTCCGCACTCTCCGCCATCTTGTGACTGCTAGCGCAGGCGTGACGTTGCCGGGTCACGTGGGTGCACGCGCGGCTCGTTGCCCGGCGTAACCGTTCACACGTTTCTCAAACTGGGGTGTCCAAAAATCCCGCTCTACCTTTGTGACAGGAAAACTATGTTGAGGAAAGGTATTGTTTTTATTCCCATCTAGAGTCTAGGGGTACCATATTATAAATAGTATTGAAACGTGTATTCGGAAGAAGGAGAACAGCATAATTATGCGTTAAATTACCATTAAGTGCTTTTCATTTAGTTTTGCGGTAATGTTGACTCACAGTGGCAAAATAACATTGATATTTGGACAGGGAATTGATTATGTAAATAACATTTCATTTTGTTTAAATATGCAAATGCCGCTTAAATAGTTTGAAATGCGCTGATTTGCATACAGTTCAGAAATCTGAACATTGGATTAAGTTAGATTAAAATTCTTGTTTCTAATTGTAAAACAGAGTAAAGAGTATAGGCTACAGTGAGAATTTCTTTCAAACAAGAAAGTGTTCAAACAGAGCATTTTACAATTTTTGTAGAACAAAATCACCAAATCAACATGAATATGAATGTATTCACGTCCCTCTGTAAAACCTTTAGATTAGAATATTTGGTCAGACTTGACATTAAGGTTTCGTTAGTTAATCAGGCCTGTAGCCAGCCTGGTAAAAGGGGTGGTTCCAATCTTTTTGCAGTTTTTCGACTCATTGTCTATTTAATTATAAGTTGAAATACTGCATATTAATGACATTTCAAGCACTATTGCTTGCTAGATTAGTTTGTCAGATAGTCACACTTTTTGATGTACTAAATTCTAAAGATTTAAAATAAAAATATATATATGAAAAATAGGCTACTTATATTTAAAGTACAACTTCATTAGATCATATTTTACAAACGGGTAAAAAATTGTAATCTATAAAGTTTTAAATTAAACTGGTCTATTGTCATTTATTAGGCAAATAACAAACTGGCCAACATAATCAACTGTCCCCAGTCAGAATTTAGTTGGGTATTTGAACAATAAAAAGTTAATAATAATGATAATAAGGTAGAGCTTCAAGATTTTTATAGCCACTCTTGTAAAAAGTGCATTTGATAATTTATGGAAAACAACAATAGCCTAATTAGTATGATAACTTAAATATGGGCTGCCTTTGGTGCTTCACAACATTTTATTGGTAATTTTTTCTTTTAAGTATAAGGTCCAAGATTTAGAATAAAAGGTACTTGTAAAATGTTTTCTCTATTTAACAACAATACAATTAAGCTTACTTTACTTTGCAGGTCTTACTTTAGGTCTTAAAGCCTTTTTCGGTGGGTTATTTCCATAATTATGAAGGCATAACAGTCGGTCCTTCAAACCACCCAAACCCACCTGACTACGGACCTGTTAATATTAGTTGATGTACACTACCGGTCAAAGGTTTTGGGTCAGTTTTTTAAAAATTTAAATTATTCATCAAGGCAGCATTTATTAAATTAAAAAAAATGTTAAACATGTTAAATCCTTATTTATTAAATATTTATTTATTAATTACTGCATTTAGTTTCAAATGAAATTATTACTCCAGTCATTATTGCTTTTAATACTATTACATTAATGATGATGATAATAATAATAATAATAATAATAATAATAATAATAATAATAAACAATAACAATAATAAACAATAATAATAATTAATATTAGAGTGATTTCTTAAGGATGATGTGACTGAATACTGGAGTAATGAACCTGAAAATTAATCTTTAAAATCACTGGAATAAAAGATAAAATTAAATGATAAACTACTTTTGAAAAATAATTTTATAGAGCAATAACATTTTACTATTTTACCATTTGTACTGTAATTTTGATGAAATTAATGCAGACTTGGTAAGCAGAAGAAGCTTATTTTAAAACATTTAAAAATCCTACTGACCCCAAACAGTAGTGTATTTATTTACTGACATGAATTAATAATGAACAATGCTTGTATATCGTTTATAAAGCATACATTAGTCTACTATTTACACATTTACAGATGCATCTAAACTCACACTATGAGTACACTATGAGTTAAACTATTTATAAACAACATTATTTCCATTATTGGTAATGAAGATGATTAAATACTGTAATAAATGTATTGATCATTGTTTGCTCATGTTAGCATTCTAGCAATACATTAACTAACATCAACTAATGCAACCTTATTGTACAGTGTTACCAAATATATGATTAAATGAAGTCTAAATTGACTTCATTTATTGAAAAGTGCATTTGTCTACTTTTTTCTTAAATGAATACAAATAAAACAAAACAATCATTAAAATAAGCTATGACAACTAAAGCATTCCTTACATTTTGATTACTTTGATACTGAGCATGTTTTTCTAGTTTTGCAAAACGTTTATTTGCTACACTCTTAAATAAAGGTTCTTTATTGACATCAATGGTTCCATGAAGAATCTATAATATACATTGAACCTTTTTATTTACTAAAGATACTTTACAGTGGAAATAATATATTTAGAATATGAAATTGTTTTGCACACTATAGGACTGCACGATATTGTGAAAAACTCACATTGCGATATAAGTTTTTTCTGCAATATATGTTGTGAGTTTACCCCTGGCTGGTTCGAAGCTGGGGTAAATTGAGACACAAGAAAACTTTGTTTTAAAACAATCATATTTTCACTTTCGATTATCCTAAATACAGTCTGATAAATTCCATTGCTAGAAAACATTCTGAATTAATGAGAAATGTGTAAACTTGACTGATAAATCATTTTAGCTCGCTTTCAGGGGAGCAAATGTAAAAAGTGTCTCACTTTACCCTGCTCTCCCCTAATTTCACTCAATGATTTTACATTGATTGGGAAGACTTTGTAGGGGAGTGCATCTCTATAAAATATACAAAATAAAAAAATTAAAAATTAAAGCACAGATGAAAGCAGAATAGATTTATGAAAATTAAATAAACATCCCTTTATGGTTTTCAGTATTGAGGTACAGAAATTCAATAATCGAATATAAATTAACACTATTCATTGTATAAATAATTAAGCAATTCATCTTTAAGTTAAAAAACTTTATAGTTTGTTGTGAACAAATGGTTTAAATTAGCTTGAAATCTTATTCTCACATGCCATTAAAAACATTAAAGTGAAAAGCTTTCACGCTATTGAATAAATTAAACCTTTCACTGACAGCTATGGTTTCTGGTTAATCAAAATTACTATTTGACATTCCAGCAATGTGACTGTTGCAGATTCACACATTGCGATTTCGATGAAAAAACTATATGTTGTGCAGCCCTAGGGCACTTTGAAAAAAATTGAATCGCATTGGTTGCTCTTCAGTGTTTGTGGTGCTAGGACTCACATTTACATTACACTAAAATAAAATAAACTGAACTTTAACTGTGACAACTGAACTGAAGGAGTTTCAGTTTACTAGAACTTCATCTTTTGCTTTTTTACACAAATAGGCATGGGACGATAACTGTTTTCAAGGTATACCGCGGTTTGGAAAGGTCAAGGTTTTAAAACTGACATGATTTTCTGCTGTACTGCTCCTACTGTATATGTAAGATTTTTTTAGGACAACAGAATCTCCAGCAGAAAAGATATCCAAAGATGCATTTTTAAATTGTAAAGAAATCTGTGTTTTTGAAACTAATGAAGACAGCAGAAGTCAATGATTCATTTTCATTATTTAGCATGACGTGTTTACTGTTCCAATAATCACAGTAATTAAAAAAATATATATTATAAAAAAAATATGAATATATGTTTCTGGCGATGATGCAGTAGGTAGTGCTGTCGCCTCATTGCAAGACGGTCGCTTGTTTGAGCCTCGACTGGGTCAGTTGGCAATTCTGTGTGGAGTTTGCATGTTCTCTCCTTTTTTGCATGGGTTTCCTCCGGGTGCTCCGGTTTCCCCCACAAGTCCAAAGACATGCGGTACAGGTGAATTGGGTAAGCTAAAATTGTTCGTAGTGTATGTGTGTGAATAAGTGTATGGGTGTTTCCCAGAGATGGGTTGCAGATGGAAGGGCATCCGCTGCGTAAAACATATGCTGAATAAGTTGGCGGTTCATTCCGCTGTGGCGACCCCAAATTAATAAAGGGACTTAGCCGAAAAGAAAATGAATGAATATGTTTCTCAAAATAAAATATATTTTCGCAAATGGGGATTTTTTGTTTTGTTTTTATCCACACATTTAAAAAGAACATATTTTAGAGCAGTAACCACAATACTGTGAAACCGTGATATTTTTTTTCATACCGTCAGAATCTTATACCAGCCCATGCCTACACACGAACATTGTAAAAAGCTCTATTTAAATAAAGATGAATTGAATTTAATACTCCATACGGTCTCTGAGTCTACACCTACGAGTGTAAAAAAAAAAAGGGCCTTTGAACTTTGGGGTCCCACTTTATATTGTCATTAACTAGTAGATACTTACATTAAAAAGTAAAGTACTTAAGTTGTTCATGTTGTATTGAACACTTGTTCTTGAGGTGGGTAAAGGTGGTTCAACAGTTAATTATAAATGCAATAACAGAACTTAATTCCAGATGTACTTAAATGCAGATAATTTATGTACATTTGTGCATTTGATCAAATGATTAATTTAAATGTACTACTTAAAGTAGTAATTAATTAGGTCACTTAATATAAAGCGATATAAATTTTGTTTTTGACATTGTGAGGCTTTAAGTTAAAAATAGAGATACTGTCACCTACTGTATATAGATGCACAGAACATATCGTCTGACACAAGTTTGATTGTGATAAGTGAATAATGAAATTAAATATCTACAATAAAATATTTTTTTTCAGTTAAGAATGCAGATTATTATTATTAAAAACTCAAGCTTATTTAGAATTCAGGTTTATTTTATTTATTTATTTATTTTGTCAGTAAGTCAGACCTTTAAAGATCCCATAAAATTAAAATAAAGTTTTTTATATGTTAGTATCAATATTGTTAGATTTTAAGATATCTATAAGTTATATTTATTTCACTGACATGGCACTGTTTACAAAAGAATTTACGCAAATATGATTATTGTAAACTGAGGATTCGCGCACTGAGCAATCAAACAGGCAATGCCTATTTGTATCGCTAGATGGAAGTGTTGTATTGCACAAATAGACTCCTCATGAGCTAATTTATTTTTTAGGTTAGCTGTTAATGTGTAGGTTTTTTAAATATTAGGCTGCAGAACTGGTGTGCAATATATACATATATTATTGTATATTAATTAACTAATAAATCATATATTTTAATGAGAATACATAGTAAATACAATTGTTTAAAATGTGTTATTTGTTATAGGCTGCATGCTGCAAGATCAAGCCGAGGAGGGCGGCATTATCACGCATACTTTCCAGGTAACGCCGGCACAGTTTCTATTATAGTCAAAATTTGTTTAATTTTTGAAGGTATGAAAGACATTTTTTTTAATTCACGAGTCAATATTTGTGGCTTTAATTTAACTTTTATTGAAGAACGAGGCAAGAGAATGTTTTATTTTCGAAAAAATAAAAGTAAAACTGAAGAAACACTCCAGAGGTTCTGTGTCATTTCGTTTGAGCACTTTCATGTGGATCAACAACTTTCTCAATTGTTTATGTTGGAAATTAGGGCTAAGTGCTTGTTTGAAGTTGCGTCTTTTGTAAATACAATTCACTTTGAATCATTTTGTACTGATTCATGTTAGGATATACAGGTCTGAAAAGTTGCTTATTTAAAGTGCTTAATATTGATAATACACAATTCATTTGTGATAGCACATCATTGAATTCATTGTGAGAAAAAAAAACTAAATACATGAAAAAACGCATAAATACATAAATAATGAGAATAATCAACAATTCCAGTTTATGAAATTTCACATTATACAGTTCATTGCACATTGCCACATATTATGTATTTGTATTGTTTTAAAAAAAGTCAACCTATTTACACAAGAAACAGGATAATTATTTGAGGGCTTATCGATGACATCCTCTGGCTTGTTTTACTCTGTTTTCCTAAAGTAATCCTAGACACTTTCATTCACAGCAGAATGTTCAAATGCCAGTGATTGTGATTCAGCAGTCCTCGGTCCTCAGCGTCCAGTGTGCATAACTCAAACCGAGTGCGAATGGAGAATTCCTTCACGGGAGGTTCACAGATGTCACTTGGATCCTGGGATGCAGTTTTTTAAGTTAAGGTGGTAAGAGAGGTGGCTTAAAGGTGCAGGTCCCTGTGCAGTGGCGTGGAGTGAGCATTTTGCAGGAGAAATGGTGAAGAGCGTCGTGAGCTTCTAGGGAAAAGGAGGATTTAGTTCCATGAAGCATGACACAAGGGAAATCTACTGCTAAACCTATGTAATCCTTTACGTTCTCCAAATAGATACACCTTAGTGAATGTATAAAGCGTGGTTGCATGCTATTATTCTTTACTGCAATGTAAAATTGGTAACGTGTAAAAGCTAAAGAGACATTTCAACCTCAAGGTTTTGTTGGTATAAATTAATATATCAAGGCCAACTCAGTTATGCTAGAATATTTTTAATGAGTTATAGGCGTTAGATGTATTTTCCAAGTATTAGCCAAACACAACGTTTTACGTACATTGAGTATTTTGTTTAAAAAGTACCACTTGCATATTTCTTTTGTATTTTTCTTAGATATTTTTCATTCCAGTTGATTGTGTAAGTGCAGACCTCAGAATAAATAAGTTTTCCCCCTTTTGAAAATTAATATTTTTATTAATTCCTTAGTGAATATATCCAATTAACAAAAGCTTTTTTAAACACTTATATTTATTAAAAGAAGAGTTTGGTCACCTAGAAATAAAAATATAATATATTTCACTTGCAAAACAAATTACAAACTACACAATTTTAAATTATGTTTTTGTTTCTTTTGATTTTTCCTGTTTATTAAAATTTTATTTCATATTTTACTCAAACATATTAATTTGGGTATAGCAATATTTGGACTGTGAACTAAAGAATCTACATTTTTATATACACATATATATTATTTGAAAGCATCCTAAAAATATGAATTTAAGAGGGATGTACTGATTTATCCTGAACACTATATATTTCTAAATTACCTTTAAGCTTCTGCTGAATTGCATAACGAGCCTTTCTCTCCTGATCCAACTCGTTGCACAATGTGTCTAAATAAAATAAACAGAAAAATTAATAAATCATTTGAAGTGGGTCACAAACATTCCCAGTGACCTAATATTGCCTTTAAAAATTAGAGCAATGTAAAAATATGCAAGTGTTACTTTTAGAAACTAAACTAGCCTTTTCTCATCACTAGTGCAAAATTACCTCGCACAATCTGCAGCTGCTGGACCATCTCCTCTCGATAAGACAGTTCCCTCTTCATTTGATCCTGAAAATTATCTGTTAGAGTCAACATGCATTAAGTTATAAATAGAAGAAATTATAAACCAATTAGAAGCATAGTTTGGGGAAAATAGCCATCTGTTAATTACCTTTCAAACTTTGAAATTCCCTTTCCAGTTTTTTTCTCAGCTCCACTTGCTCCAATAGCTGCTTTTGGAGCTCCTCTGTGGAAAACCAATAGAAGTCCCATAAATTATCATATCACTATGACTTTTAATCACAACATCTCTCAATAGCTTTTAAGTAAGCTACAGTTATTATTTTTTAAAGAAAATTAGCCCAAATAAATCAGAATTGTATTTGTTTGGATTATGTATTTCCTCTCTGTTTTTCTTGTCTAATAGTGCTATTTAGGTTACTAAGGCTAAACACACCATCCCCGTGTTCTCAAGCATGACATTGCAAAATAATTAGGACAGTTGCCTGAGGGCTGTGAGGAAAACAAGCCCGGCAGTGTGGATCGTCTGCAGTTCAAGGACAATTCTCAGTAATACACAAATGTGCAGCGATCTCATGAATACAAAAAAAGGGGGCAAACATTGTACACAAAAGCTTAAATATTTGCCCTAAAAATAAACAGGCTAATGCATTGTTAAATTTTATTCCTTGAGAGCTTGTGCTCGTAATTTATAACGTTATTTGCGTAAAGTCTTTTGTTATGAATAACATGAATGTTTACGCTGTTACCTTTTGCCATATTCTCGATGTCTTTCTCGAAATTAAATCTGTTATCAGTACTTCTCAATGCTGCGTCAACTGGCAGAAAACAATAAATAAAGATATTGTATTAAAATTATAAAGAAAATAAATATTGCATAAACAAATAATTTTGCTTTAAAATCTTGAAATTATTTGATATATGCTACTCACTTGAATTCTCTCTGCTTACTCTAATTTGGTCCGAGCAGGATTTTTGAGATTCGCATTCGTCGTCAGTACTGTTTGAAATGTGTGAATCTAGAGGAAATATATTTATGTTAGCAGGTCACTCGATTGTAGTGCATAATTCAACATGTTTTTCTCATAATTATCGAAATTAAAGTTGTTAACAAGCTGGCCTATAATACTAATATATTGGGCAAAATATTAAATACCAGTTTAATCAATTCTTACCATTTGTATCTTGCGCGCAGCGAGAAAGTTTGGAGGCCGAACAGGACAGGGTGTTCTGAAGAGAGGCTCCATCCTTTTCATGCGAGTACACCTGCAAAAATTAGCCAAGCATTTAAAAATAAATACAACACCAATTATGGTGCCTGTAATTTCATTCTTTTTACGCAACAATTCGTCAGACAATAGACTGCGTTTAACCGTACTCTTACATGCATATCTGGCAACATCCAGGCAAATTACTCGTATTACAAGGTGCATTCAGTCTGATGGACTGACAAAGAGAATAATTTGCCCAGTATCCACAGGGGAGCCCTTACACCAACACACTAATAGCCCGCGGGCTACGACAGAAATGACCATTCATCCTAAACATTTAATTTACTATAATTACGCGCCGATGGGCGCTTTTATCCAGACCGTTTTACGTCAATAAACAGGATTAAAACGAGGTGTATCCATAACAACGTAAAATACAAAGTGTTCACAAATAGAAATCTATAAATATAGAGTCCACAGACTCATAATTAGACGTCATTACACGCTAATAATGCTGAAAGACTGCTGTATTAGACAAGTGTGTCATCCTGAGAATTGACTGCTTTTATTCACTCTGACATTATTCAAAATCATTTTTGCAATAACCTGGGGCCATTTATTTGATGCTGTAATGCTGGATATAGAATTAAATGGCTTCTTTGGCATTGAACATTTTAGTTTGTGTCACTCACATCGTAAGCAATGGCATCACTTTTCTTCGCCACCTGCTTGTTCTGCTTGTGATCAGGGGAGCCCGAGTCACTGAAAGTGACCGTCTGGTGGCCATCGTCCGGCTGAGGCGTTGGTGTGTCTTCCCTCACTGGACTTTGCCGATCATCTACGGAAAGTTGTATAGATTCCTCATCATCGGGAATTCTGTGAGTCTCCACGTCCACATCTGGTTCTTCCCCGCTGTCCGCGCACGGAGAGGCCGATCTGTAGCTGGAGGTCTCGCTCACAAAGTCAGGCGACAAATGACCAGGATGTGCTCCACTGTACGCGTCCCTGTTCCCGTAAAGCTTGGCTATACTCTCTGCGTCTTTAACCACTGGTCTGAACGCAGAAATATAGCTTAGCTTTCTAGGAGTGCTGGGTTGACCCTCACTTGACCTGGCCTCGTCCCCAGATTTGTCCTCGTCGTTCCTGAGGGACTGTGAGCTGGAGCAGCGCTCGCTGTCGAACAGACTGTCTCTAGGTGTGTTTCCTCCCCTCTCACTCTCTGACATCTCTGCTTCCGTTTGCCGGCCACCCAGTAAGTCCGCGTGTGGCTTTGGTTGGTAGGATGAGAGCGGCAGGCTGCCCGCGGTGGGCCAAAACATAGGAAAGGAAGGATAGATACCGTCCTTCGCACCGGGCCAAAACACGCTGGGCACATTGGTCTTATTCTGCTCACCAACTCCATCGTCCTTCTTTTGACACAGTCCAAATGCTGGGAAACTATACGGATGCGGGAAGATGGGTGGCGGGATCTTCTGGAGCATGCCGAAACTCTTACTAGGCACAGGGATGACCGGATAGTTGCGCACGCTGTTGCTTAAACTGAGGTTACCGCGGTCGTCGTCGCAGCGCAAAGTTTTGTGAGGGATATCGGAGGAAGTAGTTTGCGTGATGTTGCCGGAGGACTGCGGTTTGAGATGGGAGGACATTTCGGATCCACTACCCGGCATTGCGCGTTTTCTGCTCCCGCCGTTAAACATGGCCTTGACGTCCTCCCACGCGTGACAAAGATCATCAGCCAAACTTTTGTCGGTGAGTTTCAGATGGCGCCTCCATGAATTAAAATTAGCCGCGTCCGGCTGCGTGTATTTCGATTCAGGTGTGCGGTGCGAATGAAATATAAATTTGTTTGGTGAAAAGTACATATTGCAATAGGTGCACTTGATGCATTTCGCCCTGGAGCTATTGTACCTGGCGGGTATGAAGTTTCCCCGACATCCCCAGGCGCACTCGTGTGAAACATCGAAAGCAAAATTCTCGGGTAATTTGGGAGGATTGTGAGCCCCGAGAAAGGATTTGCAGAGGCGCTCGGCCTCGCGTTTGGTGATCATGCCACAGCGGCGCGAGGAGATGGGCATAGCCCCCGCGCGCCTCAGGATCTCCAACTGCACCGGCGTGCACTGCACACACGTAATTCCAAGCGCCACGCGTCGGTTGTGAATTTCGTTGTAGCTGTAGTTCTTCAGTAAAGTGTTGGAAATCTGCGCCAAACACAGTCTCTCCTGGCCGTCGATTACCAAAGAGACGATGGGCACTCCGTACAGCGCAGTCTCACTCACTTGATTTGGCTTCATCGAGCTGCTGCCAGAATAAGGCTGGAGTTCTTGCTTCGAGCTGGGAGAAGAGCAAGTATCTCGTCCCGTAGAAAGCTGACTGGGTATCGACTCCATTCCTGGAAGTCTGTGGAGGAGACATAGATGTTAAATTACACTACAATCCAAGAACTAGCCTATATTTTATGCTAGAGATTATTTACAATTATTGATGTGATTTGTACAAGCGTTCTCCCAGCATAAATATATTCTTTACAGTATTATTATTTATAGGAATAAATAGCAATAATAACTTTATTTATACGAATAATAATATTTAATAACTATTATTATTGCTAAAACTGGTTTGATTATTACATATTGGCGCACATTATCTAAAAAAATTAACGAAACAAGAAATCGGTATATGATAATTGCAGTAATTTCAATAGTCTATAATTCGTCTACGTAATCAAGTTTATTCGTTTGTTTTAACCCTTAGTCAAATTAAAAACAGGCTACAATCTTTTTACCACTGTATTACACAATATAGATAACATTTAACGTTTTAATTAACACGTTAAAGCCAACTAATTAACACTGAGGCCTACAATTAATATTTCATTTTTAGGTTAAATATTTTGACGACTTTCCTTAAAAGCTCGCACTCTTTGACCCGAGAGCCTGCATCATTGCTTAATGTCTTCAAATCGGCTCAGAAGCCGGAGCGATTACTTAAAGGCCTCTTACGGCGCTAATACGCAAAGGGGCAGAAGGGAAGAATCTTTTAGCTACTCCAATGAGCTTATCAACAAGGAAAAGAAGCAGTAAGCCGCTTTCTGTGTAATTACACAGCCTGTGTTGTTCGACTTTGATCTGTTAATAAAACTCTGATCATTTATAATTAAAACATTGCGCAGGAAGCCTTTATAATTTAGTACAAAGCATATTTTCGTTTCCCAGACGTCTCCGTATTGTTTACATTAAACCATATGCATATAGGCTATTAATTATTTTGCCAAATTATATCACCTGATTTAAATGCTATAAAATCCCTTTCGTAATCAAGGATAAAGCATATTTTAAATATTACAGTCCACTGTTTCATAAACATTGGATTGAGAAATGGATATTAAAAATAAGTTAGACATTTATGATTTATTTATCATTTATTAAATAAAAAATTACACCATGGTTATTATATAGACCTATCAAACAAATTTTAAATATAAAAAGAAACGTACCTTTTTCAATCAAGAAACGTCAGAAGAGCTTGTGTATCGCCTCAAATGAACAGGCCTAAATCAAGAGGGACAAATCGTTCGTGTGAAGTGCGGGATGAAAACTGCGAGTCTGTGTAGTCTTCCCTTTCAAAACAGCTTTAGAGTTTCCATCCCTCTCAGCTCTCGTGCGTGGTGACGGGAGCGCGAGCCGAGTGACCACATGGCAGTCCCGGAGCTCGTGTCTCTTCTTAATAGGTTGTGCGCGATCTACTTCAAGAGAGGGGACGCCAAAAAGAATAAGAAGGCACACCCACTGAGATCAAATCCGATTCTGGTATTAACCGTTTGCTTCCACTAGCCTACTTCAAAACAAATAGTACTGCCAGTTTAGAATTCAACTGAGCTGCTTATACAGACAGGCAGATAGATAGATACACAGCAAAATATGGGGACCCAAAACAACTCTATGGGTGTTAATTTCAACACTTTGAAAGTGTCTCATGGGGTCCACTCAAAACAGACTTAAATCAACACTTTCAAAAGGGTTGGCACATTGACACCGAAGTAAGGGTTAATTTTAACTCAGGGCAGAGTTAAAAATGTAACTATATTTAACACCACCTGGTGTAATATATTGTTATTTTATTCAACTCTCTTGAGTGTAAATATGGTAAAAAGGTAAAATAGACTGTAAATTACAAAAGAAAAAACATTTTATTTGAAAACATTCACAACCTCAACAATTCATTCAATTTTTAAAATGCAACAATGTCAAATATGCTTTAAATGTTTTATTAGTACAGACAGTATCAACAAAATATGATGTCCAAACTTGATGTTTCATCAGAGCAATTTGAAAGTTCAATATATCGTCACTCATAGTTTTCTTCTGAACGCATAGTTTTCTTCTGAAATTACATTTTAAACAACGTGCAAATCTTTCACTTCTGGTGTTTCCTTGGTCCTCCATATCAAACACAGCAGTTTAAATGAAGGTATAAATGCTGTAAACTTGTGTGAAAACAAACTGGAGCTAGGAAATCTCATCAAGCATGTCCTGTGAAAGATGTGCTTCCCAGCCACAGGATGACCTTTTTATCCATGACGATGTAGTAGCTGCTGATCGCTCGTCTGGTGGTTCCTGATGCACGAATATACTGTAGGGTGATGCTCATCTAAAAACTCTTCAAGACTCCAGCATGACTAAGAAAAATGTTTGAAAACAAATTGCAATCAAATTCTATGATATATTTAAAAGAACATTTAAAGTAAATAAAACATTCAAGAAATCTAAACTCACCTTTTGAAAATCTTCATGATGATCCACAACTTGACTCTCCCAGCTGGTTGAGGTGACAGGATATGGAAAAGTAGAAAAAACACATACATCACTGTTGGATCTCCAAAAACAATTAGGTTTACTACTATGACTAGAACTGGAAAAACAGGCAGCTGTCTGTCCAGAATCCTGAGTTTAACACAACACTTGGAGCAAAATTTAGAGGAGCTTAAAATCTTTTATATCATTTAGTGTAAAAAATATTCATAAACTTACAGTTTTCTGTAAGCGTGTGCATGCGTGTGTGTGTGTGTGTGTGTGTGTGTGTGTGTGTGTGTGTTTTTGTGTGTGTGTGTGTGTGTGTGTGTGTTTCTTTACCAGATTCAACTTGTTAGGCCCTTTCAGGTCCAGTATTGACGCCACCTTTCCTGGAGTCTAGCAGATGTTTCAGGTCCAAATATAATCTAAAATATTCGGATAAGCAGAAGAGGAAAAGTGCAAAGCAAAGAGCAAAACATTATTTAAGTAACAGTTCACCCACAATACAAAACTTATCACCTTCATGTCATTTGTTATTCTCTAATGCTCTAATACCCTCTCAGCTTATAGTGAAACAAATACAGAACTTTATCAAACATACCTTCATTATTATCACCACATATGACCAAGAAGGTGTGCTTGGTCATTTCACCAACTCTGGAAATACACCATCCGTCTCTAATCAGCCACCGTCACAGGGTCTTGTGTTATTGTACAGAGAACTGTGGCTGTTAAAAAACAACACACTAGTATCTAACACATATGCATAACCTTCAGATAAAAAAAAGAGAGATGAACATCACAAAGTATGCCTCACACATTTTCACATATCTTTTGATTCAGATGTTGATTATTAATAATAAATCTACAAATCAAACCTGTATCATCATTAGGCTGCTCAAATATGAATCAGTTGATTAATTTTACAGACAGGTGGCTGTTTACAACGCACTAATAAAACGGAAATGTTGTGTACAGTACATGCTAAGTTTAACCTATAGTTTTAAGCACAATATCATGCGGGAGAAAAAGCTTGACTAAGATGTTCCTGACAACAGAAATAGCCTAACTTACTAACGTCAGACATCCCGAGTTGGGAAAAGTCATTTTCGGGGGATACAGAGTTGATTTGCGGGAGGTAGCGGGAGAGATGAGAACCTGAAGAGCAATGAGATGAGTTGCGCGCGACGTACCTGAAGAGCGGTGGGGGTGACTTGCGCGCGACGTACCTGAAGAGCTGGGAGGGATGCGGTGGAGAGGGGCGTGCAAAGTGTTTAATTACCGGGCGGGAGACGCGCGATTTCCGGGAGATTATCGTTCATTTGCGGGCATCTACTTGGGCATCTGGGAGTCTTTGTGCATTTGCGGGATAACGTTAACGTTAGTCCCGCAACTTCCGGGAGACTTCTGTAACGTTAAATGTCTGATAAAGTGCAAACGCGGTCATTTAAAGACATTAATGTTAACATTCCGACTTTAATGGTTGTCAACACTTAATATAATTCAAGCGTACGTTATCACACGAGTCTAAGTTATGGACTAACTGGACGGCCAAGAATGAACCAGTTTAAAAGGGCCGCGGTGTTTAAAATAACCAAATTAACGTACACGAATAACAAACAATCATTTGTTTTAGTCAGGAAGCCTTTTACAAGTAAGCATGTGTTGATTTACTCACCAGATATGTTTTAAAAACTCTCCAGAGCTTATGGAAGCCGTCCTGTGTTGCCGTTAGCATCCGGGCAGAGTAGGCTAACGTTAGGCGGCTCCGGGGATTCCCTCGCTAGTTTGCTTGGAATTAAAGGAGAAGTGTCGATTTTATATTACAGATGGGTAACAACGCACAAAATGGCATTAAGCGTGACAGAAATGTGTTGAACATGTACATTTGATGTTTTTATGCACTATGTATGCGTGAGCATATATAAAAACATTCTTGAAAAGAAGTCAATAGTAATGCAGTTAAGCTAGATACACAAACGACCATGAATGAACCGCAGAAGTTTAAAATTGTCACTCCATTCTAAAGTTATTAACTTAACAATATGTTTACAACTGTATTTCCTTAAAGAAAGTCAGTAAAATACCAATATTTAGGTAGTTTGACTCACCAGTTGCTGTTCTAAACCTCAGATGGAAAATGGCGTCTGGAAAATTCTTCAGTGACTGGGGCTGCATGAATTCCCGGATGTTGGAAATAACACCACCAAGTGTAGAAAAGATAACTCCTTGATTTCGCACTGAATAAAATCAATTCTAACTCTTATTATATTCATTTATCAAAATCTAACTCTTTAACGTCAACACTTTACTCTCAAATGCTTCAACACCGAGAATTTAACTCTGATGAATTTGCTGTGTAGATAGATGGATAGATAGATAGATAGATAGATAGATAGATAGATAGATAGATAGATAGATAGATAGATAGATAGATAGATAGATAGATAGATAGATAGATAGATAGATAGATAGATAGATAATTTTTGCTGCCTTTGTTGATATCTAAGTTCAATTTAAGCGGTTTTGCGCATAGACGATTGCGCATGGAAACAGGGAGGATGTACAATGAACAACCAGTAATTATGATGCTTTGTTTGTTCCTCTTCATGATGTCATATACACATGTCTTTTTTCTCAGAGATGAACAAGTTTTGCATTAATTTTTAACTGTTCTGTTTTGAGTGACACTCGATAAACAAACTATCATTACGAATTAGCATGAAATATTTCCTTGTGTTGGGCATGCATGTCCGCAGGGCACGCACTGTCTAAACTGCTATTAGAAGTTCGTGGTCATTGCATTTTACGTCACATGTCTCCCAGTGAATGATGCACATTTGTTAAACACACCAGCCAGTGAGAGCGGCTAGTGTGTACAAACAGTGATATATCAGAGCAATGGACTGAGGTAAGTGGTGCAACCTTATATGGCCGTATTAACTATTTAAAACCTGATCAATGCCCTTCAGTTAACCCCACTAAGTCTTGACGTAAAGATATCAATATCGAACCGGGCAAAGTTGTGCTGTCCACTTTGAAATACGACAGTGGAAAATTGTCATTCCCTCAGAAATGTTTTGGCAATTTGTCCAGCTTTCATTGTTCACGCGTTTCAGTCTCTCCCTTTCTCTCTCAGAGGGTTTGCACAGTACAAAGTGTGGTCAAAACAACTGATAGCCAATGTTTTTTTTTTACCTAATAATGTGTCAAATATTTCCCACCTCCTTTAATTATTCCAGCCCTCGTCCATTTTACTTTGCTGTCATTCGTTAAGGTGTCAAAACAGACGTTTAATTAAACGGTAATTAATTATATAAATGTTAACAATTACCTGAATCAATTAGTTCATAATGTCCAAAAATGCCTTAGAGGGATGTTTCTTCTTAGCAAAGTCATTACCATTAAAACGCTTCGAGCTAAAGTGTATTTTACATTAACTGAACGTGTATCCTGATACAAGTACAGCCGGCTGCATTTGTATTAAAATATTTTTCCAAAATAGTTGAGGATAAAATACAGCTTATATGACGACAGAGATGAAAACAAATGGGAAAGTTTAAAAATCCGTCAAGCGATGCTCATGTGTCCTGTGACCAAGGGGCCACCGGCTTAACCTAATTCAATATTAATAGGAAGGGAAACTTTAACCAGATCTGCCTGGCCGTGTCTCCTTTCACAACCAAGAAGCTCCGTTCTGGCCCAACAATAATTACAATTTTATTCTGTAATTATTCCTTTCTTGTTAATTATTTAGAGGTCAGACTCAATGCAGCATTGTTAGCATTTATGGCGGAGAGACAGGGGCTCACATGTCCTACAAGACTGGATCCTCCTGGTATACAGATACACAACACCCGTTTTTAAACAAGCTATCCTGTCATCATTTAGACAGACCTGTGAGGGAAAAAAAGTGTAATCATGTAAAAAAAAAAAAACATGTAAAATAAATAAACAATTCACAAGTTCATTTAAATCCTCACGACACTGAATTATCTACAGTAATAACGCATTTATGGGCTATTGTTGTTTGCATATAGTTATCACTATTAATTTTAGCACAGTCAGGTTTCTTGATGGACTTAGTAACCTCTCTGACATGCTATTAAATAATCGATGATTGTTTTTACATAACGGTTGAATCAATACGATAAATATTGTGTTTCAAGACGACATATGCCATTATTGGCTCATTAATATACATGCTATTATATTACACGAGCATGAGTAAACTAATTAAAGAAACTTTATATAGGCCAGTTGCTAAGTATGAACTGCATGGAGAAAAACCTCTTCATTAGGCTGTAGCGCTTTGTGTATTTTTTATTTTTATTTTTTTGATAATATTATCAGTAAACACGTTATCACCGCACATGAAATGTGGTAGTGAGGATACAATTAATTAAGTTAAATAAGATGTTTTAATTTTGCCGTGTTAAAAGGTATAATCTAAGACATATGTCGTATTATTAGTCAGGCATTCGTCAAGCTATTTATCTATTTCTTTAGATATCATTAATGTTAATGTCTTAAAATATTTTTTGTTTCTTATTAAATGAAAACATATTTCCATAAATAATATTTCCATTACATAAAGAACAATTTTCCACTAAGGAATGTATCTTTGTCAAAGAACAATCGATGCCATCAAGAACCTGCACAAAATTAGGAGCAATTACCAAGCGAGAGCAACTATTTTTTCCAACATCAAATGTTGTTGGTTATATTTTAAATGACCAACAAGCCGAATTTAAAATTTTTTTTAGTTGTACCTTAAACAAAATATATAATCTATCATTGTATTCAGAGAACACAAACAAGCTCAAATAATAAAGACGAAACCCCATTCAGATTTGGAGAAATAAGAGATTCTGTCCTGGAGGTCATAGAGAAGATTGGCACATAAATCAAAGACAGACTAATTCAGCAAGAGAGGTTTAATAAACGCATCAGCTGAAAAGCAGTGTTCTACAGTCACTGTTATATCCGCGCCGTATAAAAGCACGACCCCAATAAATTTCACTTTAGCGCGAGATCAATCAGCTTCTCTCATATTGATCTCTGTCGCCTTGACACTCCGAGTCGCCTGCCGCAACCTTTTTGTTTCGAGTGAAAATAGCGTTTCGATTACTGTTTTTATTAGGAAAAGATTGCTACAAGAGGTTCACCGTGGCCTGAAAATTAAGTGGTGACATTTTAATTACTAGACATTGATAAAGGAATCTTGGTAATGGCTGTGAACAGGTCTTTCAGTGCTCGTCCGGCCCCCTCGCTAATCAAACTGGACTGCAGGAGAAAGGTCGGATTAGAGCAGCTGTATATGGGCCCCAGCAGCCGGAGGAGGAGGAATACTGAGGGCCTTTACCTGCTGGGGCCCATATACCCCTGCTCTAATGAGACTTTTTGCTGTAGTCAGTGTGATTGGACTGTTGTTTGTCCCTAAATATATACGTTGAACAAAACAAAAATGACTTCCAGTAATTTACTTTCAGAATAGTCATTTTTGTTTCACTGAAAAAATAAAACAAAATTTATTCATCACGTTATTTCACACTTTTATAGACAATTTATAGACTAAACAAAACAAAAAAGAGTTCACCATTTTGCCTTGATATATATTTACATTCAGTATATTTCATAGAAGCAACAATCTTAAACAATACTTATATTAAGTAATATATTCTGAATTTATTTTCAACCAGTAGCCTAAATTTGTTTCCTTATTGTGAAGCATGGAAGGCAGATTAATTAACATGACATTTATATGGCCGTTTTACTGTTTTTATGCAAATCCAAATAATGAAATACAGTAGATTAATGAAAATAGAAGAGAAACTGCCAAATTAATGATTTAGGAATAATTACTGTAATCATGATAAAGTAACTGCAATTTGATTAGATTTTGAAAAATCTAATTGTCTCTAAAATTGTAATACAGATTACATGTAATCAATTAAATGTAATCAATTGCAGTATTATTAATATTAGGAATGCTCCGATCAATCGGCAAGAGATCGATATCGGCCGATAATCACATTTTATGACACGATCGACACTCGCTAATCACATGAACCAATAGCAGGTGTTCGTTTACGGCTTTACAAGCAGAGGAAGATCCATTTTAACTTCTTATGCATCAAATATGTACTCCAAACTTTTGAATTCTTCTTCCTCAGTTGCAATGTTTCTGAATTGCTTTGTTAGTAATTTTTCCTATCAATTTTTTTTTGTCCTATTTATTATTTTTTGTGAAACTGCTTCTGACCATGATGTGTCCACACTAAATAGTTAGATGTGTTTGAGGGATTATATGCAACATCTTTCATTTATTCTCTTAGGAAAAAAAAGATCTCCACTTAAGCACTTGGAGGGAAAATTTGCTGTATGCAATGTTAAAGTTATAAAAACTTTGAAGCATCAGAATCGGTATTCAGTAGATGTCAAGCTAAAATAAACCCTTTCAGCCACTTGCCCAGAAGAAAGGCCAAAAGTGATGTCTAGCCAAGGACAATGTATTGATTTGTCCTCTATTCACGTACAACAATAATGGTTCATACGGTCATGAAAAACCTGGAAAAGTCATGGAATTTTGTTATACCATTTTCCAGGCCTGGAAAAGTTTTGGAAAAACTGAAAAACTAACAATTTTGGAAAAGTCATGGAAAACAGATATCTTTATACATGAATATAGGTTATTTACTTCTTTCTTTCAAATACTCTCACATTATTAGTCCTGTGTAAGCATTATCTAAATCAATTTTTACATAATTCTAAGCATATCACACAGTTATCATGCATGTAAAACTTTTGTTTGCGCTGTTCTCGGTGTTGTAGTTGTTCCTCATATTTTAACATTTTGATTCAAATTGTAGTGCAATAAAAAGCAAAAACTTGTGCAAATGTCCCCTCTGGACATCACTCTTGGTCACTATTGTATACGTGATATATACAGTTGAAGTTGAAAATTATTAGCCCCCATGAATTATAAGCCCCCTGTTTATTTTTTTCTTCAATTTCTGTTTAAAAGAGAAGATTTTTGCAACACATTTGTAATAATTCATTTCAAAACTTGTTTTATTTAATCTTTTCCATGACAGTGGAATGTTAACAATTACCTGAACAGTGAATAATATTTAACTAGATATTTTTTAAGACACTTCTATACAGCTTATAGTGACATTTAAAGGCTTAACCTACCTTAACCTTTCAGTCAGGTTAGGGTAATTAGGCAAGTAATTGTATAACAATGATCTGTTCTTTTAAAAAATACATTAAAGGGGCTATAATTTTGACCTTAAATTTTTTTTTTAAATTACAAACTCCTTTTATTCTAGCCAAAATAAAACAAAAAAGACTTTCTCCAGAAGAAAAAATATTATCAGAATATAAAAATTTTCTTGATCTGCTAAACATCAGTTGGGAAATATATATAATTCTGACTTCAACTGTATGCAACACAAGTGACACACAAGAAACATCATTCCATTTAGATATTAATTGTGCTTTTTTTTGATGGTATTGATCACCATGTCACATCCGATGCACTGTGAATTGTAAACATTAAGGATGGACTTTGTAAATCAACACTAACAGTGATCCGGTTCAATATGCACTCATGTGGAGAGGAGAGTGACTCCGACCCCCATATCAAATTCCTGTCCTCCTCATTGTAGTTGTCCTGTATGGACCCAAACACTCGGAAAACACTGGACCAAAACAGCATCCCGTGACCACTAATGAATTATGTGTAATCAAATACGGTCCTTTCAAACACACAACATGTAAGCTATGTAATGCTAATCATCTGAGGGATAAACCTAAACCTAATCTAGTCTGTTTAAATAAATAGTGTCTTCTAAGGTTAGAATGCTATATACTCAATTATTTATCTTTTAAATAACCTAAAACCTTTAGAGTATGTTAATGTAACTACTCTTACATAAACAGTGTCACTGAGGGAAAATAGCTCTTTTTTTCATGTGAATGATACCTCATATGGTCCGGAGAGTTGTGCTATATGAAAGCAGACAATAGATATGGTAGATCTTCACAAATCAGTCATAAAAATGTATTTGGATTATCCTGAAAAACAAGAAGCATGAAGTGCAGAAGACATGAACACAATGAAATCTGCAATATTTTATTAAGAAAATCAGCTTTATGTGCAAACCTCACCTCAATTGCATTATATGGTCGCTAGTCAGGCTTGGCTTTGGCCAAAGTTCATTATAATCTGAGAAATTAATTTGACATAGCTGAACATTAACAAATGTTATAAATAATAGTACAGTAAAAAAAGTACTGTGTATTTGGCTTTGGTGTTTGACAATTTACCATTTTATAAAATGGTGACTGGCAGTTGTGACCACAGATAATATCTAAATAATAATAATTACTGCCACTTGCATTTAAAATGATCGCTCAAGTAACACTGATAAAACATCAAAATTGTTCCTGAAATGTCAGAAAAGAAGGCAGATGTGATGAACGGTGGGGCTGATTATCAACTTTTGGTTCATTTTAATCAAATCCTCAGGAAAAAGAATACAGTTCATTTAGATGTATACATTTGTATTGTTTGGGGGCCTGCTTACCATTTTACCAGAAAATCCTGGCTTAAAGGAGTGTTAGGGGATTTTATGAGTCACTCTTGGCATTCTTCACCAGCACTGTGAATCCTGCTGTGTTAATCTGTCTGTATGGGAGGGATATTTTGATATTGTCTGGGTTAATGTGATTTAATTTACATTCTCATCTGTATTCTCATCTTAAGTTAATTTCTACAATTTTCTTTTCTAAATAGTTTATGAGACTCACCTGATTTGCAGTATAACATTGAAATGTACACTACCAATCAAAAGTTTGAGCTTGGTGGGATTTATTGTAACTGGTTTTAAAAAGCAACTTCTTAGCAACACAATGGCAAAGTGTTAATTTAATATAACAGTCTTCTAAAGAAATATTTTAATATAATTTTTTTGTTCCTTTAATAACAAAATTGGGTGACGCAGTGGCTCAGTGGTTAGCACTGTTACCTCACAGCAAGAAGGTCGCTGGTTTGAGTCCCAACTGGGTCAGTTGGAGTTTCTGTATGGAGGTTACATGTTCTCCCAGTGTTGGCCTGGGTTTCCTCCGGGTGCTCCTGTTTCCCTCACAGTCCAAAGACATGCACCATAGGTGAAATGAATAAACTAAATTTGCCGAATTGTATGAGTGTGTGTGTGAATGTGAATGTATGTATGTTTTCCAGTACTGGGTTGCAGCTGGAAGGGCATCCGCTGCGTAAAACATTTGCTGGATAAGTTGGCGGGTTATTCTGCTGTGCTGACCCCTGATGAATAAAGAAACTAAGCCGAAAAGAAAATGAATGAATGGATAAACAAAACTGAATTTTTGATCAACCAAAAAGAAAGAGCAGATTGTTAAAAACAAAATGATCCCTCAGCAATTCCAATTTCACATTTGTTACTGATTTATGTATATACAAAGCAGATTTCCATAATGCAAATCAGCTGCCCGTGAATACATTTACTATGACCCACCCTGACATTCTGTAGTTTTTCGTCAACAACATGTCAAAAAAGACAGTTTTTTGTTGATGCATCCTCACAAAAACTCTTGTTAGAATGACTGAAGCTGCTTATCAAATCTGTTAAGTACAATCAATCGTATATTCACTTTAGTTAATGAAAAAATCTTCAAAAGAGTGTGCGCAACCTCCAGTGTGTACTGATCTTAAAGCCTCTGATTGGTCATGAACTCAATAGGAATGTGATTAATTCATATTCTCTGAAATGTCCTGCTTGAGTCATGCAAGAGCTTCGGGTTGATCACCTAGCTTTCAAATGTTTCATCATTGGACTTCGATTTACCCCCTTATCATATACGGTAACTTCATTTACATTGATTACATTAAAATAATTTCATTAAGGTCATAAAAGTAAAATACTTCAATAGTATTGTAGTAACCCAAAGTAACCACTGATGAGTTTAATGAGTGGCCTGTTAAGGTTTAATATGGTGAAATCAGCAGCACCATTGTTATTGTTACTGCAAGTAATAGACCAATCTCAACAGACTGGGAATTGTTTGATATGCTTTTTACAATTTTATGTGACGTGAAATGTACATTAAAAGAAACGTAACGTTTTTTGACCTTGGATTTGTGTAAACCTATTATTGGAGAACTCCAAAAAATGGAGACGTTTAAAATAGCATAATAATAAGAGCACTTCAGTGCATCCTTGCTAAGAAAAAGAATGTCTTTAAAAAATCCTAAAACTTTTAAATGGTAGTGTACATAGATCTAAAAACGTATCAAACCTTAAAGTAATGTTAAGTTTATATGTACTTGAATAAAGTTCAAAACTGGCCTTATGTAGGACAAGGGCAGGAAGAAAATTCAAGCTTATGTGCACAAGCTGCCGTCCACCGCCTTCCACCATAACAAGGCATCACATTTTTCTAACTTCAATTGGGTATTGCCACTACTGGCAGGCCATTTGTGAAACTCGACAAAAAAGTGGCTTTTAAAACAACAGCAGCATGACTTGCACTGCAGCAGGGGGCAATGCTCCACACAACCCCATATATTTGAAAACCGTAATGTTTCACTGAACTCGAGATGATTTATGACGTGCCCACAATGTTTTGGCAAAACCAGATTGTTGCTTTAAGTACAGAAAGCGATGGTATTTTCAACGAAAGCTGAGTTGAGCAAGCAACATCCCCCCTGTGATGATCTTCTGGGGAAACATTTACTTAAAAAAAAAGAGGCTGCAGAAGAACAAAGCTGAAGATTTGCATCAGTGGAAACCAATATACACGGTTAAAATCCTCATTTGCAGGATGCTAGCATAATCTCACCGTGCACCATTAAATTCAAGCATGGGAGGAGGAGGTGCTCTATATGTGAGCTGCTGTTTCTCAGTGGAAGAGTAAAGTGAGGGAATGTGGACACCATCTCCCATAACTCCCTGCAGTGTCAGTGTTGTTCACATGAGTCTCTGTGGCTGCTGGGCTTTGCGGTCCTCTAGGCTGCGGCACACCCACATGGACACCACCTCAGTGTTGCCATCATTATATTGCACAATAAATGGGTGGTCCTGAAGAAAAGAGAAAAACAAACAGTTTTAATTTTCAATATGACGCTTCACTGATACATAAGAGCTATATAAATTAGTAATGGAGACTGAACAACAATTATGTTCGCCCGACACAAATGGATTGCAGTAAATACAGCAAGGATAATACAGCAAATTCTGAAAAATAATTCTTGCTGGGCGCTCCCATAAAAATGAGAAGAACAGATGAACAGCGACAGATTGAGCAGTTGAAATGAGCACATCAGCCCCAATTTCTTAGCTACAAAGCCTCTTAAGTACTAACCAGGAATTAAGACTCGTTCACACCAACAACAGTAAATATATTGTGTTTACACCAACAGCCGACTGTGTTTAGTTTTTAAGTGAGGGACTTCAGTGATACTGTTCTAAGATTATATTATTGGAAAAACTCTTTCTTAAAGTGACTTGTTGCTTGTAGTTTATTTCCGTTTATTTGGTCTGGATGACAGAAAAATATATATATATAATTTAGTCCTAGTTTTGTTACACTGGGAATACACTGCACAATTTTTGAAGTAATCGGATCACTGATCTTTCACACTATACAAATGTCTGTGTTAATATTTAATTGCTGTTATATGCACACAACTTTACAAATTGGTGACAAAGTCAATTAACAAACTACACTCGAGGCCAATTTATTAGGTACACCTAACTCGTACCGGGTTGGACCCTTTTTTGCCTTCAACTGCCTTAATCCTTCATGGCATAGATTCAGCAAGATACAGGAAATATTTTTCAGAGAATTTGGTCTATATTGACATGATAGCATCACGCAGTTGCTGCAGATTTGTCGGCTGCACATCCATGATGTGAATCTCCTGTTCCACCACATCCCAATGGTGCTCTATTGCATTGTGATCTGGTGACTGTGGAGGCCATTTAAGTACAGTGAACTTATTGTCATGTTCAAGAGACCTGTCTGAGATGATTCACGCTTTATGACGCCTTATTCAGCTGGAAGTAGCCATAAGAAGATGGGTACACTGTGGTCATAAAGGGATGGATATTGTCAGCAACAATACTCAGACAGGCTGTGCCGTTGACACGATACTCAGTTGGTACTAATAAGCCCAAAGTGTGCCAAGAAAATTTCCCTCACACCATTACACCACCACCATCATCCTGAACCGTTGATACAAGGCAGAATGGATCCATGCTTTCATGTTGAAGCCAAATTCTGACCCTACCATCCAAATGTTGCAGCCGAAATCGAGACTCATCAGATCAGGCAATGTTTTTCCAATCTTCTATTGTCCAATTTGGTGACCCTGTGTGAATTGTAGACTCAGTTTCCTCTTCTTAGCTGATAGGAGTGGCACCCGGTGTTGTATTCTGCTGCTGTAGCCCATCAGCCTCAAGGTTGGACGTGTTGTGTGTTCAGAGATGCTCTTCTGTCATACCTCAGTTGTAACTAGTGGTTATTTGAGTTACTGTTGCTTTTCGATCAGCTCGAACCAGTCTGACCATTCCCCTCTGACATCTGGCATCAACAAGGCGCCCATTTAATTGCTGCTCACTGGATATTTTCTCTTTATCAGACACTTCTCTGTAAACCCTGGAGATGGTTGACGTGAAAATCCCCATACATCTACAGCTTCTGAAATACTCTGCAGCAGATCGTCTTGACCATGTCTACATGCCTAAATGCATTGAGTTGCAGCCATGTGATTGGCTGATTAGAAATTTGCGTTAATGAGCAGTTGGACAGGTGTACCAAATTAAGTGACCATAGAGTGTATGTTTCATAACACTTGAGAAGTGATACAAAAACTTACAAGAACATAAAATTGTGTAAAACTATTTATTTCCAGGTGGAGTTACAATGAAAAATACAAAAATGGAAAAAAAAGGTTTGCTGATGTTCTGGCCCTGTATCTTGCTTTCTCATTGGCTGTAGGTTTATGACTCCTCCTCACCTCAACTCTTTTCCTTTACCCGCCAAAACACATTTCGCACTACAAGAATCTGAATTGCAGACAGTCTGTCAAATATCCCACATGCATCAGCACTTTGAAAATTTGCGTGACGAAGCACAGATTTGCCTCTAATTTTGTGCGTTTGTCAGCAATTTCCACAAAGCTGTTGGCGAGTAAAAACTGGGTTACTGTTCACATTTTTATAGACCCACTAACAAGAAAGTAAACTAAAGACTATTTAGACTAAAATGGGTTTAATGATAAGATTTTAGGCAAAATTGACCTAAAATATAAAAAAATGCTGCATGTAGGGCCACACTCATAACTGCATATTGGTATTTTTCTATAAGCAAAGATCTTTTTTGGTTTTTGTTTTTACAAATGTGCAAGGGCGCACTTACACAGAATGCATTTTTCCATTGGTTTTCAATTTAAACATATGCTTGACAGACATACATGCATGATCATTATGCTTGCATATCAATAGGGTTCTTTTGAAGTGCGGAGCACATGAGGGCAGCATTTTTTAAGATGCTGTGTCAAGTAAAAAGAACAATTTCTACACATAGCGCCACATATCAGTGTCACTTCCAAAGCAGTAGAATAACTCAGAAGCGGTGCAAGCTTTGCAAGTTTCAGTTTACCGGTAAAGTGGCTGTGTCTGGATACCCTTGTGCATACCTGTGAGCTGCCTCTCACATATTTAGACACAAAGATGCATTCTGAGTAAATGAGATGAATGAGGGGAAAAAAATGCCAGGAATTCCACATTGCACACAACTGATGTTTTGCACAAGACGACACATTCCAGACTCATGAAGTGAACTGTAATGGGCAGCGCAGTGATTACAATAAGAAATAACTCATATGCTTGAGCATTCAGTGCTATTCATGATTGCATTTTTGGCATCATAAAGTGGACCAAGGCCCATATTTCAGTAGTTCACTTGTTAATGCACATCAGTGGTTCTCAGTTTGCGTCCTCAGCTAAAAGCTTCAGGATTAAACAAGATGATTAAACATTAAAAAGAAAAAAAACTGAGCGATTAGTCTACATTTTACGTTTCTGTACAGAGAGGTCATGTTTTAATCTTCGATTGGTCTCACACAGTCACCTGATGCGTTTTGGCAGGTCAGAGTTCACCAAGCTTGAACTTTGCAACGCAATAAACTGTGAAACCTGTCGCACAAGCTTGTGTTGCAGTTTGTCGCAAGAGTAAGCATATGAATGATGAATGGAAGTCTATGGGGCGAAAAGTGCAGTGTGACCGTGACTCTACTCAAATAAAGAACACTACTAGACCAATTGCACCAGAGCTTGCAACCTGTTACTAGCATGAAATCACTGCAGTAGTACAACACCACAACGTTCAAGTGTAACTAAGTTACTATTTTTTAAGGTAAATGAAGGTGTAGGTCATAGAGTGCATTGTTAATTGCAGAGCTTCCTAATTAAAAAAAAAAAGAAGAAGAAGTTCTTGAGGAGATCAAGCTCCACCAAAGTAAGTGAAAGTAACACAAAAATAACGTAATGCATTACCATAAAAGTAACTAAGTAATGGAACTAGTTACTTTTTTGGAGAGTAACTCAATATTGTAATGCATTACTTTCAAAAGTAACTTTGCCCAACACTGTGTACAGTTAAATTGCCTAAGAAAGTACTAAGTTGTACAAGTTAACCACTTGAGTAGAGGTTATGTTTAAGCATAGGTTTGATAGTGTCAATTCATTACCCATTTTATCTAAACATACTGTATATGTCAGAAAATAGACTACAGAAAAGATCATTACAATTTCCATGACTTTAACCCAATGCTCATCTGATACAGAATGAACATCTTTGATCTTCTCATACCCTTCCAGCACATCATCCTCCCTCATCCTTTGGTTGTGAGCGAGGACAGCGCTGTGCCATCAATCGTTCTGTCCTCTTAATGGTGAGCTCTGCCTGTGCCACAGTGAGGTTAATCACTCTCAGTGCTGGAGAGCTGCAGAGGGCAGTCCTGAGGGCCACTCTACCAGCCACCCATCTCATCAATCACACACACAGCCTGGCCAGCCCAACGCTCGCTGCCCGCTCCACAAGCAGAGACCAGCTCTGACAGCAGACCCAGCAGCCTTCTGACCACAAAGAGCAGGACAGGGAGAGTGGACAGATATCATGGGGGAGTTCTACAACGCTGGCCACTTCTGGACCAAGGTAAGTGTCTTAAAACACACTTTTTCAACTTTTAATACTTTTAATAAATAAATTATTTAAATAGTTTAACGGCAATCAATGTTGGACAATTATGCTAGTGTTGGGGAAAGTTACTTTTGAAAGTAATGCATACTGAGTTACGCCCCAAAAAAGTAACTAGTTGCATTACTTAGGCCCCGTTTAAATGCCCAATTCCGATTTGCTGCCTATATCTGATTTGTTTGCCTGTCTAATTACACGTTTTAATTGTGACCCATATCCAATTCATGCATTTACACTTGCCATACAATTTACGATGTCGCGCATGCATAAAGGCGGGTTCTAGCATCTGTGCCACACTAGCCACGATGGAAGAAATTGTCTTTTTTTTAGCTCTGCAAAATGTGCTAAGTGTAGTATAAGCAGTCAATAGTTTAGTCCAGATTTACCCCTACGCAGTTTATGTAATGGTATGGCCCTGATGTGTGTGTGTACTGTAGTTGAAGATGTAGCCTTTGCCTGTGTGCACGATGGTGTTGGAGAGAATAAAGTTATTCTATGTGTAGCCCGCAGTGCGTGTATTAATAGCGACAAAAAGCAAAAGTTACAACACGAAGTTCGCCCAACTTTAAAATGATTTTGAGGAGGAGGTGGGAAAGGGCCGTCATCGCAGCTTGCGCTTATGGTTTATATGCTTTATGATGTCCTCCACCATTCAGAGGAATTTTTGTGTACGAGAGAGAGCTCAGGTCTGGTGGGAACAAATTGTGGAGACTGACCACTTTTCTCCTCTGTGTTTCCTCTGATGTTGTGTACCGTGTCGGCATCTCTTCTTTCTGTCATTAAACCACGGAGAAGCACCACATTGTCGCAAGTTTAA